GAGTACAAGGCTGCTACTGGTAGCTTCACTCCAGATCGTGTTGCTGTGTGAGTTTTCTTTCTTTCGTTCTTCCTTAAAAATTATGATTATTTTTTTTTTATTTTTGCAAAATTTGAAATTCGGAGCTTAATAAAATTGAAACCACAGATTACCCATATAGTTATAACTAAGATCCTTTTTTTTTTTTTTTNNNNTTTTTTGGTGGGTTTTGTATGCCTGAAGCTACTGCAAGTGTGAGATGCCTTACAACCCGGATGATCTCATGGTGCAATGTGAAGGATGCAAAGACTGGTAACCCTGAGTTAGTTTTATAACCAATGATAAGTGCAGTGCATGATTTTTTCCCAATTGTCATGATAACAATATAGCAAAATGTCATGTTCTTCTGTAGTAACTTCTTTTGATGTTCATAATTTGTTGTTGGTGTAGTAGTGGGTAATGTATATTTTGCTTATGTTCTGGTTTATGAACTCAAAAGTCTTACATCAAGTGGTCAGAAAATGCATTTCGATCATGAAGTCTTTAAAATTGGAGATGTCTTGTACAAATTACCCTATGATGTTAATCGAATAGTTGCTTAAAGATTTTCAATATTTACTTAAACTTATTTCGGTTTTCATTGAAATAATTTATTTTTTCCATTTGCTTTATAGTGGTGGTCTAACACGACATGATATACAAGTATTTACTTATATTTTCCCACTCTTTTTTATTTTTATTTTTTTCCCACCTGTTGCCTTTTAGGTTTCATCCTTCTTGTATGGGTATGACAATTGAAGAAGCTAAGAAGCTGGACCAATTCTTGTGCTCTGATTGTTCATCTGATGATGACGGTAAAAGATCTATGAACTCTTTTCCTGTATCGCCAGCTTCTGAGTCTAAGGTAAGTTTAAGATTGAATGAACATGTTTCTGTTTTGGTGGATGCTTATGTGATAACATCTTGAATTCTTTCGTTCGAGTTCAATGAGGTTTTTTGTTGAAATAAAATGTCGATCATTCTGTAACTTTCCGAAGTTGATTGTCTATGGTGCTTTTGTCATTTATGGTGAGGAATTCTGAAGAAGTTTGTTCAAAGCTTGATTAATTTTTTCTTTCCTTTTCTTTAGGTGGGGCCGAAGCGCAGAAAAAGATGACAAGAGTAGTGCAGTGCTGCATCAAGCAATTGTACCCTCATTTTCCCCGAACACAAGTGCCTCTATTTGTTGTGTATTGTGGAATTGTACAGTGCAGAGAAGATAACCGAGCTTATGAAAAAAGAAAAGCCTGTGGCTTTTTTTTCCTAATTTATGTTAACATTGTCATCTGTTAATGCACGTGTGTGATGGATTCGCTTTCGAATCACTCCCCAAAACATGGAAAAATCAGTGTCATCTTCGTTAAACCTACCTTTGTCCAAATTACGATCTTTCGTTAAGAGTTTGGTGTTTGTTTATTTTTGTGTTAATGTGCAAACGTTGTTTTTCATGTTTGTGCTTGCTTTATGTTTCTCCTCAAGGCTCAAAGGGTATATTTAAGGGTAACCTAATAAAGAGTTGATTGGTGTCATCACATTTGTGAGACAATTACATTTGATGCATATAATTAAACAGCACATCACTTATGGTATATCAGTAACTGCAATTTTTAAGCAAAATTTATTTTCAATCTTGTGAAGAAGCTTTCAGATCTTGACATGGTCTCATATATAACATTTCATAAGTTAAAAAAGTAGCTTGGATCATGTGTTTTTACGCTCATAATATGGGGCGATATTACGAAGAAGACAAACGTACTTCTAATCGAAGGAAAGATGTTTTATTGAAAACAATATGAAGCTTAATACCCCCAAATTGGTCTTACACAGCTACTCAAAGATTTGACCGATTTTTCCCATGAATATATCAAGAAACAATCGAAACCTCTTCATATCGTGTTCCTTTTGTATGCTAAGATCGATTGAATGCCAAAGAAATATGATCTCATTTGATCGATCACAGGTTACTTCGTAAGTGTCCCATGAGACTCGTTTTCAGATCATTTCGTTTTCATTTCACTTACTTCAATCACATAAAACCCAAAACAAGAGGCGAAAAAATCGCAAAATTATTCCTGGCATTTTCTTCTTTTTTCGAATCTCAGTTAAACATCACCGTTTCTTGATTAACTAACAACAATCAACACATCAAAGAACGGTCTTTGTTTCGGCAAAGCACCACAACAAAACAACAGCGTTTCTCAACAATCGAAAAAGTTACAAAAAAAAAAAAAA